TATAAAAATATCAGCAAAACATCAAGATTTTACAAAAATAATAATAAATCAGAGCCCTTATGGCCAAACAAGATAAATATAAATTATAAATGTACAGCCCTTGTGGCTGACAAATAAAAATATAATATTTTGGTCCTTTTGGCCCAACAGAATAAAAGTATAAATGTATAATAATAATATGATAACAGCTATTAGAGCTGTAGCCGTATAGCTTTAATATTAATACAAAAAGCGGCCCTTCGGCCTTCTGGTCCAACAGAATAATAATAAATGTACGGCCATTTTGGTCTAACAACTAAAAATTAAAAAATATGTATAGTACAAAACTCACAGTTTGTGGAGCGAATACTGGCCAGCTGGTCATGTGCTATRCATTTTACATAATATACAAAAAATGACGTTTGCACACAAGTACAATACAATTGGTGTTTAGAGCCGCGAGATTTACAATAAATCTAATCACGATAAGCAAACAAATGGCCTTTGTGGCGCACATTAACAATAAGATTCTATATTTAAAGGAACTGGCTGTTCGAGCCTGCAGCTAATATGGGAAAAATACAACACCCTATTTACTATTAGAGTAAAATAATTTTTATATTAATATTGTGATAACAGATATAGAAACGCGCGCGCCGATATTGCTGCTATAACGTTCGGCACAAGATAAAAATGGCACGGCGGCCGTGTTAATGATATTTACCGCAGACGACGCGGCGTCTTACCATAACGCATCGTGCGTAATCTACACGCATTATATAATAATTCACRATCACACAAAAATATAAAATACAAAAATAGCGACAATTATATATGTGACTGTGAGTGTGTGTCGGTCGGCGCCCGGCGGCAAAGCTTATACGTCGTACGTTGGCTCAAATGGTAAAAATATATAATAATATGTWCTAACGAGTYGATGGTCAAAGAACAATTWAAAAAATATAGTTATAGACTTATCATGGCATGTCCTACGTGAATCCGACGAGTGCAGCGAGTGCGAACGAATTCTATGCTGTTCCGCGGCAGCGCGGTGCATTCGATGCGGTGAAATACGTCAAACTGTTTTGTTTTTCGCCGCAATTCACGTAGGACACGGCGTAATAGTGTGTAATCGTTGTCCTTTTTTTTTTTATATACACGATGAGCACATGACAATAAATCGTTACATAACGATATAACCGACGAAAGGGAGACAGCATAATAATGTAGTATAAGTAACGTTTATAAGGACGTAACGTCACAACAGAAAACAACACTGGATTATATTACGATATAAAGATTACGAGATCGTAGCCGCACGTCACGTCTACGCAGCGTATTACACGTACAAAGGTAACGGCGGACTAGTCGATTTCCGGTATGCGGCTGCAGTCGACGGAACAGTAACGCACGACGAACAGCCAACGAAGATCTGCGAAAAACGATGAACACACTGGGCTCGATATTAATTTCCGGGACGGTGAGTAAGATGCGATGAGATGCAGTGAAACGTACTGACGCGTACAAAAGAATATCTAAATCAAAATGTCTTCTCGTCCCAGTGCTCGGGACAGGTATCTTGAAGCCCTGCACAAAATAATTATAGTGATAAACAGATGACGACGTACGTTCAAATGGTATTTGACGATTGCGTGAACAGCGAACAAATATATAAAATAGTCATGTTCCTGGCTAAAACGGACAGTGCAACATTTATGCTAATAAACATTAATCAAAAACAAATATTGTCATACGGCGTACAGGTACAGAAACAATAATGACCAATTCCTAAAGGCTCAAGGTGCTTAGACGATATTTGTTTGAGGCTGAATATTATGTCGATTAACTCGGAAGTGACAGTGCGACGGAAGTGGAATAATGATATCTACGAATATGACTGACACACTGTTATAAAATGTATTTATTAATTATTGATATACCAGCTGCCTATCCGGGCATTACTCTTGCTAAATATTATTTTATTGCAAACTGAAACAAATGCATGTGTGAGCTAAACTTAACTAAACTAATTTCCATTGTTTTATCAGTATGTATATTTTTCACGGTAAATTCGTAATTCATAAAAAGGTATYGCTAAATATAAGAACCGCGCACAATCGTATTGCGCTTGTTTACATAAATTATCATGTTTTCAGATGTAATGTAATTAAACCCCGCCGTTAGTGAAAATTCCAGACACAAGAAATTTTCCTATTGTTTTTAAATTTTTTTTTCGTCTGCACACGTTCACGTTTTACTGTTAAGTTATTTCTTTGTGAAAACATTTTTTTGAAATCGTTTTTATTTTTTTAAACGTATTTCAAAAAAAAGTTTCATCTAGAGTAATTTTGTACCAATTTTGGTTTTTTTAAATTTAATTTGTTCGGCTTAATTTAATACTATAGTTAAAAGTTTAACGAATAATATGCATCAATATAAATGTACCCAATAAAACCATCATATTGGACATTATTTTTACTTAAATCGAAATTGATTTTTCACAAAATATTATTATAAGTACACGTCGTGTATATCTCAATATACGCATCTGTGTATTAAGTTTTACATACACTCGATGCCGGGTATGTTATATTGTATGTATTGTGTAAAAGAAGATGAACATAGTACCTACATACATTCGATACATTTTTAACATACTTTAAAATTAAATTTTATTAAGTAAAATTAAATTAAACGAGCAGATAAATCATCTTTAATATAGTTATGCGTTATGATGCAAATATATCATCAATATATTTTTAATTACGTTTTAGAATTCATTTGTTATAACTCTAAGTCTCTAAAATATAAGATCTTATTATGGTGAAAATATCATGATACAAATTTAAATCAAATTTCATTTTTTGAAGCCATACGCAGAACATTATAATATTATGTACCACGATAATCGTTTTCATTTTTTTGCGTTTTTATCCTAGAAAAACGATCCGTTGAAAATAAAATTTGCAGTATTCGGTTAACAATATTAKTYAATATATGTTCTAAGTATATAGAAATTGTATACAATGGTATACCATGTAATTTTGTTTAAGTTTTTTTAAATCCGAAACGTGTTTTCCAAACGAACAAAAACCTTTAACACCATTCTTCGAGGATCTTTAAATTCTATTATAAAAAATAGGCAGCGCGTACAGCTATTACGGTACGTACTTAAGTTTCGTATACAATTAACTACACGCACTTACCTTTACCCTTATGTATACACACCTGAAAACAAATATAAAGAACAAAGTAAACAAACAAAGACTCAAGCCGGAATGATTGAATTTTCGTGCATTCACATTGTGTCGTACGAAAATAAAGTATTGTTATTTATGTCATGTCACCGTATACGCGTACAGAAGCGTCACATTTTTTCCGACGTTCATGTATCTTCGAAAATCTCCAAAGTCATTCACTTAAAGTCGTCAGTGTTTTACTCGAATGTTGTATCTACTTGCATACAATTGTTGACGGAATCCGAGCCTGCGTGTGTAAATATGTAAATGTGTATACTATCATTGCCGATTGCCCGCAAGTACGTTTTTTTTATTTTTGAATTCAAATTTCATTGCTACATCATGAGTATAATTCATACATTATAGAGAATATTGATCTATAATTCTGTTGCATAGAAACGTAAAAGTKGTATTTACCTATATACCAGTAGGTAGAATGGTTTGTAAAATAAAGGTATCAACATTTTCTCATTAACACAATTTGGTTTTTTATACAGTCCATCACATTCGACGAGTATAATTAACAGTWTATTAATCATTTMTTTAAATCGCACGTTCAAATTATTCAAAATATATGTTTTACTCTCCTATAATATAATATGACATATATCATATAATTCAATCTTTCTTTAGTTTCATTTTAATGTTTTTTTTAAGTCAAATGCGATTTTACCTTTAAATTAGTATAGAAACGTATACTATAATTGTTATTTCATGTAACCTTTTTTTATTCCACTGTAATATAAATTGTAAGGCTGTTTTCGTTGCACAACCATTGGTGTGTCACAATATATTTGACTAAGGGTAACGCGTGCTGAACTAAATAATACCCCACTGTAACAATAATAATAAATAATAATATTATACTTGCTCCTGAAACAACCATACAGCTAAACATATAACTATGCATGACATGTTGCATAGTCTAGAGCCGTGAAAATTACGTTTTGGCATACTGCAACGTGTTTGCCAACTAAGTGTCTGAAAAAAAAATACTCAATATTATTATGTTTCGTACTTTCTTTCACTTATATTCGACATAGGCACAATAATTCAAATACAAGATATAAACGTGATTGAATTTTGTTTTTCCAAGTATCCACCACACTAGCTACTACGGGTAGTATTAAGRATAGTATTTAGGATGGTATTAACTATCACCGCGAAAAGGTTTATGCTAAAAACCCACTCGTTCACATGGATATCTTTTTATCCTTTAAATTGAAACCACAATATATGTTTACTTTAAAAGTTTAACAACTATTTCTAATTAATACTGCAAAAAATCTCAAGAATTAAAAACTGTAGGATAGGTACTAAGTATATATATTTGAAGGTAAATTCAGAAATCGGATTTTGAATAATTGCATTATGGAATGAAAAATGWGGGACGAGAGTCGTGCTTGGCGAATCAYTCTGTTTAATTAAAAACACTCTGTCACGATTTAAATATTATTTCGGAATCCTCCACTCAGCCAACACTCGAGTGCCACTTACACTCTMTGAATTCGTATAAAAGCGCCGCCGCCGTGTACAGACCACGATATTATAATACGTTCGTTGATTGCATGTTTCAGGGTGTCGACAACCTACACGAGATTAATATTATCAACAACGATCGCCGTCATGTCACCGTCAGCGGTGCGTTGGCGGCCGACCACGAACGGGATACCGTCACCAACACCGCCTGCACGATGACGGCGACTGCGGATGGCCAGGAGGGACGTGCCACTGCAGTGACGACCGACACACCTGCGACCGGCGGCGGGGTCGGGTGCGACAGCGACGACCCCGACCGCCACGACGACGGTGATCGCGCCCGACAACCGCAACCGCAGCAAGAGGACCCGGTGCTGCGCGGCGGACAACCCTTGTCGCAACTGGACGCGGCGGTGCTGCAGCCGCATACCGCGTGTTTTGACACCGGAAGTAACCGTCAACTGCACGATCTGACGGTAAATACCTATGATTATTTGAGGCATAATTAAACGTAAAACACTCATTATTTCAAGAAAAAAAAACACAAACATTTTTGAAAATATTACTTACTAGTCGTTTCAGAACAATATCGATGTATGTAGAAACTTTGAGATATACCGAGATTTCAATGTATTGAAAACGGTAAAATACTTTAGGATAAAGAAAAGGATGGATTTAAATTAGCATGAAACATATTTGCAAAGTCRGAGTGRTTGAGTTTTGTGATAATAATATCATAAAGAAATGAAACATTGTGTTGTGGAACAGAACAGAACGATATGTGACGTCAGAATATGCCTTAAAATTAATTAAAGTTATAATATAACGTAGGAGAATCGATTTTGTCATTAAGTACATTCTTAATAAAAGTTATATTAGCTTCGTGACTACGTATGATCGGCTATAAAGAAAGTAAACTTGTCAACATAGGAGAGTATAATAATCATGAGAAAGCGTTGTAATCAATTTTATTAGGTGTACTTACATAGGTTAGGGTGATGGCGATACGCGATATGTCCTGTTTTTGATCATATTGCCCCTATATATCCCGAAAAACATCAAACGGGACACTTTTGGTTCCGTTTTAATCCCGTTATCCCCAAATTATCATATGTTATAATAGGTTCGTTMAAGAAAACCCACATGAAACAAATATAAAACAATATTTTTATAGTTTTATATTGAATTATTTGAACCTTAATCAAAAGTTATTCACTAAAATTGCTTAGGTTTTTGGGTACCTATAATGATCATTGACCGCCAATAAACAATTATCACTATCAGTAATAGTCCCCAGGATAACTATCAAATTCATGTATTGTACAATGCAATATTTGTGAGTCTGTACTATAGTCACCCTTTTCAACAACTCATCTCATATATTATGCAAACTTAACCTATTCAAAAATAATCAAACAATGTCTGGAGGTAGTTTTTTTTTTTTATGTACAGATTTAAGCGAAATTCGTTGGTCCTGTTTTAATATTATTTATAAATATGGTCACCCTAACGACAAGGCTGACAAATCACAAAATATTACATGAAACCCTTTCCATTCGAGAAAAATCAGAACTGCATTATAAAGTCCCAGAAGACAGGACCATATAATTCTAATATCGATCTGACGAATGCACAACACATAACACGCATAAAATAAAACGTATTTTTAATGCATAATGTATAGTAAATAATAATAAAAATAATATTACACTACAATTCTTACTTTCSTATAATATCAAACACTATAAACGTGGATGATACATTATCATCCACTCGATATACAGTTTTGTGACATCTATTCGTATTTTTTTTGTTTAATAAAATTATTATGAAAACATAATATTGTTTCCGTGTGATGAAAAAAAAACACACACGTCAATCATTAAACATAATCAGAGTAGTGAAACTATAATAATATAGTTATATATCACTCTAAGGTGAAATCGCAGCAACAGCTACAGAGACCTCATCGCTGTTTATAGGTAAGATCATTGATTATTTTATTAAATACTATTCACAATCAATAGCAATAATAGCAGTGGTTGAACAATAATATTGCTATCATGTCCTCGCAGAGATCATGTCTGTCGTCACTATCCAGATCACGTGGCAAGCCGTAAACAAGCGAAAGTTCATCGCCACCGGTTCTCATGTATCTATATACATAAATATTTATAATTGAGTTTATACAATATAATTAATAATTACTAACTAAATTATACATACAGTTTATTGGGACGTGCGCGTGTTTAGGTGTTTGTGGTCCAAATTCTTTTGGTTTTTTTTTTTTTGGTTTTTGTCGATCGGTGTGTTTTCATTCAACTTGCGATGGTTTATCTATGGCAGTCATTACTCGTTACAGAGACTCGTGTTTCCGGCAGCGGGCGTTTACGACTCAATATACGCATTACAGTCTGTTTTGTAGATCTTTCCGTACAAAATACGCTGTACAAACAGCCCAGGAAAAAACCGTCTGGGGAAAACTAAAAACAAAAACGATTTTATGGCTATGCACTTACGACGTTGCATTAAAATAACATGCGTATAGCGTATTATATATTTACAAGCCGATAAATAAGATCTATATTGCATCGCCGCAACGTTTCTGTGGAATCGAGAAAACTGATATTTGAATAGCGATGGCGTCTGAAGTATATAGTTTAGACAATAACGGTGGCTGGGTTTCCGCACAAACTATACTTTTGTAATAACGCGTACGAATTCTGAGCAACAGTCACAATGACGGCATAATAGCTTACCCTTCCTATCGATAAATTCGACCATCATATAAGGGCGTGCAGAGGGCGTAGGCARTCAAGTTGTGTAMAATTTTTTTGAAGCCAAAACCTTAGTACCTATCAAAATATAGGTCTCATATGTTAGTTGTAATTATAAAATATATATATAATGTCCTGACTGACTAATCAACGTAGGTAGGTACAGCCAAAACWATGGCATAAGTTATAGTATTACGACATTGAATCATCGTTACATACAAATATATCTATTTGGTGACTTACGAACACAACTAAAGTTATCAACATTAAGTTTAATCATTAGTTGTTCACTTTAACGTCCTATACTAAATTACTAACAAATCTAAACGTGTATCGGAGGACGGAAATTTACCTAACTACGCACTTTTAAAACGAGGGCCAAAACAAATGCGGCGTATAGGATTTTTTAAGATCATCTCATGGGTCTTCTATATATARTCTATTTTCAGTTATAATGAAAAAAAGAATCCCTTTAAGAAAAATACATTTAAGATTCTATTGGTACAAATTAAACTATTTTAATTAGTACAAATTACAAGYATGACAAAATTACAAATTATACATTTTTTTACACATATATTTAAAAAAAAACAAATCTTGGGTATCGGAAAAATCAAGCAGTACAACTATTTTATATACTTGTTTAATATTTGAATCAATACACGATATTACTATATAGTATTAAGTAGTGTTCTAACTTATAACTATAGGCATGCGCACGGGGGTAACCAGGTGGACCATGACAACTGGGTCATATACATAGTAGTATTGGCTTATTCTGGTGTATAAGAATTGTGATTTAATGGTGTTAAATTTTAAAATTCTTAAAAATCTCAAATTGTATAACTTAATTTAACAAAAAAAAATTGTGTGTAAAAACTAATGGCTATTGTCACCGATGTTGATTAAGAACAATAAAAAAAAACTTATATTTAAATAAATTATATTGAGTAATTCATCACAATACTTAGGCATTTAAATTGTAAAATAATAACATATTATTAAAACAAATTTAAAGCATGAGCGCGTAATAATTTTGTAAGAAATTACAATTAGAAATATCATTATAGGATATATCGCATAACATTTGTTTGTGTTTGCCCAAGTTTAATTATGAAATATTAGTTATCAAATGTGCAACGATAAATTATAAACAGAAACAGTATGTTATTATTATTATCATTTACTTATTATGTTTGAAAGTTTTGTTATGGTAGATAAAAAATGTTCGAGAACGATGTTCGCCTGGTGGCAGGGTGATAACAATAAATGACTTATTAAGTGCTATTTTAGTATTTTATATTAACAATCAAGTTCTATTCACTATGTTTTGAAATAAATTCACATTTTTATAATTTGTAATTTATTATAGTATAGGTATAAATTATAAWACCTATATAATGGTTAAATATAATAGGACATAAAATATTTAAAAAATCACTATACCTATATCGGCTATATCTACCTATACCTAGACTATACCTATATCTCACAAATTAGAAGACTCATGTATACAACTAACGCCTGTAGGTATACTTAAACATTATTTGAATTATATCTAGGTATTAAAAATGTTGTATTCGTTATTTTTAATATGTTTGAAAAGAAAAATTAGATTTAAAGTTATGGTTAAAATATTTATTTATGGGGAATT